AAACAAAGACCATTCTTCATTGAATTTTCTTGGAAAGAAAATTTGTCAGAAATTAATTGACCACATGTATGTCTATTTCTGCACTCTTAATTTTTTTTTTATGTTGATCTGTAGGTCTATCTTATGTTAATACCATACTACTTGATTAGAGAAACTTTATAATAAGTTTTAAAATCGAGTAGTGTGAGTCCTCCAACTTTGCCCTTCTTTTTCAAAATTGTTTTGGCTATATCAGTTATTTAAATTTTCATATAAATTTTAGAATTAGCTTATCCCTTAAAAATCCTATTATTTTGATTTGGGGTGCATTGATCAATTAGGGTAAAATTTATGTTTAATTATATTGAGTCTACTGAACCATGAACACTGTCTCCATTAAGACTGCTCCAGGTGTTCTTTAAATTCTTTTTTTTTTTTTTTAACATTTATTCATTTTTTGATAGAGACAGAGCACAAACTGGAGAGGGGCAGAGAGAGAGGGAGACACAGAATGCAAAGCAAGCTCCAGGCTCTGAACTGTCAGCACAGAGCCTGATGAGCGGCTTGAACTCATGGACCATGAGATCATGACCTGAGTCAAAGTCGGACGCTCAACCGACTGAGCCACCCAGGCACCCCTGGGTGTTCTTTAAATTCTTTAAGCAATATCTTGGCATCTTGTGTGTGCAGATCCTACATGTATTTTTTGGAAGTTATTCCTAAGTATCTGTTGGTTGTTGATGTTATCATATTAGTATTTTTTATTTAAATTTTCTTTATTTTATTTTATATGGAATTTATTGTCAAATTGGTTTCCATACTACACCCAGTGCTCATTCCAACAAGTGCCCTCCTCAATGCCCATCACTCACCCTCCCCTCCCTCCCACCTCCCATCAACCCTCACTTTATTCTCAGTTTTTAAGAGTCTCTTATGGTTTGGCTCTCTCCCTCTCTAACTTTTTTTTTTTTCCTTCCCCTCCCCCATGGTCTTCTGTTAAGTTTCTCAGGATCCACATAAGAGTGAAAACATACGGTATCTGTCTTTCTCTGTGTGACTTATTTCACATAGTATAACACTCTCCAGTTCCATCCATGTTGCTCCAAAGAGAATATTTCATTCTTTCTCATTGCCAAGTAGTAGTCCATTGTGTATATAAACCACAATTTCTTTATCCATTCATCAGTTGATGGGCATTTAGGCTCTTTCCATAATTTGGCTATTGTTGAAAGTGCTGCTATAAACATCAGGGAAGTACAAATCAAAACCACACTGAGATACCACCTCACGCCAGTCAGAGTGGCTAAAATGAACAAATCAGGACACTATAGATGCTGGAGAGGATGTGGAGAAATGGGAACTCTTTTATTTAAATTTTCAATAGTTTACTGCTAGTACATAAAAATATAATTGCTTTTTTATGTATTTACTTATTATACAGTGATTTTCCTAAACTCACTTATTAGTTCTAGTAACATTTTCATAGATTCCATAGAATTTGCTTCATTGAGGATCATGTTCTCTGCAAGTAAAGACAATTTTACTTTTTAATTTCCAATCTCATTTTTCTCCTTGTCTTATTGAATGGGTTAGAACCTCCAGTACAATGTGCATAGTACAGTACAAGGTAAGAGTGGACATCCTTGTGTATTCTTTCTGCTCTTGGGAGGGGAGCGTTTACTCTTTAACCATAAAGCACGATGTTAGCTTTGGTTTTCTACAAAAGTTCTTTATCAGATTGAGGAAGTTCCCTTCTATTCCCTATTTACTGATTGTTCTGATTATAAATGGATGCTGAATTTTGTCAAGTGTTTTATTCAGGGACTCTTCCCCAATTTACCTCCCCCACCCCGTGCTTAAGCTGTTCTTGCATATTTTTAGGTGACCCATAAATATTTGTTGAATGATTGGAGTTGGGCTAAATATCTCTGTGAGTGCAAAGCTACACTTTAGCCCCTTAGAAGTGTGAGATGGGCTTAGGGGAACTTAATATTTGAACGCCTATTCATGTCAGAGATACTAGATTTGCCTAAATGATCTCATACAATTTTTACAACATTCTTATAAAGTAAGTATCTCCATTTTGCAAATGAAGGATGATGAGTAATAGATAGAATGATTAAAAACCTGTAATATGGTTGGGATGTGGGGAAAAGGTCCTGTGTTTCATAATTCAATAGAATGAAAAAAGATAATCTTTATGTTCATAAAACAAAGAATATACAAAGGAGGATGGTTTAAAATATGATGCAAGTTAAAATAGAGTATGATTTGGTTATCTGATGGCATGAAACTATCAAGAGTCCAGTCGGTCTGGGTACAAGGAACGTCATCCGTGGAATGACAGTTAAACCATTAAGAAGGGAAAGCAATCCTTGCATAACACTCAGCTCAGCCATGAACAAAAGCCTCATAGTCAAAATCATGCAAATTTAAGTTATTGGTGTGCAGCCCTGAGGATGTGATCTATAGACAAAGCAAAGAAGATTTAATTTAGCTTACACATGAAAATGCAAATGTTTGTCAGCCTTGACAACGAGAAAGTCAAGAAAGATTTGAAGGAAGTTAGAAGGTGGAAGAAAAATGTGGAAATTGTAGGGATGTTAACACTCTTATTTTTCAAAAAGGGAACATTTAAGCCCCTCTGAGCTTCAGTTCCTCACCTGCAAAATGAGCTATAAAGTCTTATATTATGGGGTTGTGATGAGGATTAATGAATGTATGTAAAATGCCTAATATGTGATAGGTACACAACTAGTGATGAGAGGAGAAAAGGACGGCAGGCCTATGGATAAAAGGAAATAAACCCATCCCCACTCATGATGGGAAATCTCATCTGTAAGGTCTATAAATCCCCTCCCTGCTGACACTGTCACTGCTCAGAGAGTAGTGGTCAGTCTGACTAATGAAAGGTCAGGGGATCTGTGAGATGAGGGTGGTAAGTCTGAGTAATCAAAGGTCAGGGGCTGTGTGTCCAGCCCAGGGCGTCTGAATAACATGACAACCCTGTGAGTGGAGTCGTTTTCCCCATTTTACAGTTCATGGAGTTGACACTCTGAGTGGCCAACTGACTCACACAGAAGTGGCCCCGAGGTGGCTAAGCCAGGCCTGAAACCCAGCAATCTAGCAACTGGCCCTAGATTCCATTGTCTGCCATCGAGTCAAGTGGCACAGTGAATCTGAAACACTGGATGAGCTTACGGCATATCCTCTATCCACATGTCTAATGAATAGCCCCTAGGTTTAATTAAAGGGGAAAAAAGATTAATTGTTTCTCCCAACAGCTGCAAATTATTTACATTGCGTTTGTGTTGATGGCTAATAAAAGAGCAAAGGCGCGCGGGGACAACCCTGGGTGGCCGTAATTCTTCCAGGGTCCATAATGAAGAACTGGTTCGAATGCCAGCATGTAAGGAGCCTGCTGTCCCATTCAGACCCACAGTGGGCAGAGCTGCTCTCTGACCTGGGCATGATCCAATCCGCAGAAATAGCTCTCAGGAGCCAAGACCTGAGAAGAACAGGCATGTGTCCCTGCTCCACTAAACTGCCTCTTGGTTAGTTCGTGATTGCTGTGAAATGGGTGAGAAGGAGCAAAATGGTGGCCAGGTTGAGTCTACCAGCTATCCTAGAGCATCTCTTAGCTGACCTTTTGAGGCATGATGGGGTGGAAAGGGGACAGGAGCCACTGCAACAGAGCTGTTTTCAATTTTATAAGCTCTTGCTTTGCGGTAACTACTGAAAATCATACACTATGATATGTATATATATTTTAATGTGTGTTATATATTATAATGTGCCTCACTTTGTATTATAATATGAATATGTTTATGTACACATGTATGTGTTTTTGGATCTCACCACATATGAGAGAATTGTTGGTCTTCCCAATTGTTAGTTTTCAAGCCTGTGGCCATCCTGGGAAAGTCACACCTTGTGAAAGAAGTTCTTCATCATTTTCATAATGATCACACCTACCTCTTAGGTCCCTGTGGGGAGCATTATGCATGTGACAGCATCATTCAAACTGTGAAGCAGGGTGTGAGGATTGGCATCAAGACAACTTTGATTATTCTAGGGTTCCCTCTAACCTGTTATTTTGCTTCTTAAGCACCTACCCTGCCCTCAGACTTGTGTGAGTGTATGTAGGGGAATAAAGGACAAACCAAGAAGATCACAGTTGAGGAATCAGATTAATGTTTCAGGATATTATTCTTAATTCCATAGTAGAGGATGAATTGGAGTGGGATAGGACTTCTTACTGGAAGATCAGTCAGAAGGCCACTACAGGCATGCAGAGAGGTGATGGCAGGGCCAGAACCAAAAAAGGAGATGGAATTGACAGACTTGGGGTATTCACACAGGAATATTACACCAACCCTAGCTCAAGTCTTATTTAAATTCTCGGCCCTTTATGTGTGGCTGTTGACCATAAGTATCTTGTATTCCTTTGCTAGGCCTGCCTTAAGAAAGGGCTACTAACTTTATGGCTTAGAACAACAGAAATTTACTGTCTCACAGTTCTGGAGGCCAGAAGTCTGAAATCAAGTTGTTGGCAGGACCAGGCTTGCTCTGAAAGTACAAGGGATAGATCTGTCCCAAGTGTCTCTTCTGGCTTCTGGTAGTTTCTTGGCTGGTGGCAACAGAACACATTGCACTCACATGTATGCATGTCTGTCTCTGTGTCCAAATTTCCCCTTTTTATAAGGCACCATTCATTTTGGATTAAGTCCTGCCCAAATGACCTCACTTTAACTTGATTACCCCTATAAAGACCCTCTCTCCACATAAGGTCACTTTCCAAGGTACTGGAGGTTAGGACTCTAACCTCTTTTTTTTCAGAGCCATAATTCAACCAGTAGCATGTATTTGACGTGTGTTAATTTTCCATTAAATAATATGTTATTCACCTGGTAAAATTACTAAAGAGCAACTTAAACTACTTAGGCAATTTAGACCATTAAGATAGACACAGTTTTTAAGTGATAAGAAAGCATTCAAATGTCTGTTGTATCTTTACACATATGTTGGTACACATACAGATATGTATGTATATAAAATGCAGTAACAATTTGTAATGATAGATTAGGTTGAGGTCAGAAATTCCAGCACACAGCCATGACCTGCTAGTTCACTGATTGATAATATTAACCCTGAAACATCTATTAATAGATGGTAGCATTTGAGAATTAAAGCTTTCAGTCAGTTTTTAAACAGTAGCTATCTACACTGGGCATCCAGGAATAGAAATAGTTGGTTTTGGGTCAAGTGAAAGATCCCTGGTCTTGGAGCCCAAAAATCTGCTGCCCAACTTTCTGTGTGCCTCATTGAACTTCTCTCTGAACCTCGCGTCTCTGAAGGTTCCTTAGGTGTAAAATGGGACCATCGTGCTCTTTGTCTCTCATGCGGTTGTTGGATAAGAGCATATGATTGGACAAATGTGCCCTATTAATAATATCATTATGGATGAGCTCTTCAGGTGGTGATCTTAAAAGTCAATCTTTGTTTCCATTGTGTTCTAGTCAACAAGCACAAGCCATGGATCGAGACCTCATATCACGGAGTCATAACTGAGAACAACGACACAGTGATTTTGGACCCACCACTTGTAGCCCTGGATAAAGATGCACCAGTTCCTTTTGCAGGTGAGATGATGGCTTATTATGGTTGCACTTAGCCCTCTTTTAAACATGTCAGGAAGCCTCCATGGAGCTGAGACTCAGGCTGTCTGTAGCTCTTGTCACCCTCTGTGCATCTCTTCGTGATCAGTCTGTGATTTCAAAGCTCTGTGCCTCTTCTGACTTCTGGTGTGGTTCTGATTTCTGATTTATGGTTTTTTCCTTTGGTATTGCCTCCAGTGCAAGACCCTCATTTCTTCTTCTGAGTGATGGTATATTGCTGAAGTGGCCTCTGGAGTTGGAAAAGCCAGGCTAGTAAGGTCCATAGGGGAATTTTCCCTCTTGAAAGATGACCTATCGACAGATTAAGTGTGTGACCCATTGTCCCCACTACCCATATATCATGGACAGGTGAAGAATTGCAGCTCGGTAGCTTGGCAAGAGAAGAGGGAAAGAAAAAAAGGACCAAGAAATATTTGCTAACGATAGGAGAGGGCTGTGCCCTTGAGATTCACAGTGGGTGTGGCTTTTGGCGGAGGAATCAAAAGACAGTGCCATTTTGCCCTCTGCAGCTTGTGGCTAGAGAGTCTTCTCATTATCATCAAGATAATGACTACTTCCTTCTCTAACCTCCTGTAAGGACCAGCTCTCTGGACCAGTGTGTGAAGAATATGGCTATGTCTCACATTTCCACAGACTCTGGCAAAGAGAAGGGGATGGCTGATGGTAGGGGCAGGAGGGAATGGGCAAAAAATTTCTGAAGATGCCTGCATCATGAGTAATATTGTTAACATTGTATCACTGTCAGGAGAAAGACAGGAAATTTAACGAAGGTTTTCAAGATTTCTAGAAGATTGCTTTATGATAGATGGGTGCCAGGCTGAGGTTTTCACCATGATGAAGTCTATTTTTTTCTGACAGTTTGTCTGCTACATTATGAGCTACTTGGGCAGGAAAAAATGGCTCTTTCACACTTCTAAGAGATAAGCTCTATGAAGGCCCCTTTTTCATTCCAGAACATTGTAAAGTAAGGAGTGAGGGGGTGGGTTCAATGGGGGAAATTCAGCGTTATGTGAAGATAAACCCATAAGTATTCTTACGGAGCATCGGGGAGATACTCTTGACTCTCAGAAGAAGCTTTATCTTTATTTCATGTTAGACTGATTACCACCAAGGGCACCTAACTGTGACTTGCATGGTGTTTTAGAGTGGGGATATTTCCTTACATCTTCCAGCCATCCTCAAAGTTTCCAGCTCAACCAAATTCCACTCGGAAGTGTGAATCCCATGCTGTCTTTTCCACAAAAGAGGAGTTATCTTTCCCAGACCTTCTTTGCCAGCCTGAGACTATTCCAAAGCATCCCCTTCTTGGATATAATTAGATGATATTGGGGTGAATCAGAAATTCTTAACCTCCTAGAAATGAGACTTTAAAACAAGCACTAGTTTGGGTTATGGAAATGTTTGGTTTGGAATGCACTGTGTGCTTAACAAAATGGAGACAATATTTAAAAATTGGGAGATTTAGTGTAAGAAGGCAGGATTCTGGTTTATCTTGATGAACCAGATGGGAAATGCAAAGCTGAGTCATGGCTTCCCTCTCTAGGCTGAGCAAGTGCTCCTGGCTTCCCTCAGCCTTCTCTGCAGCCTGTGTGCATAGGTCTTTCCACCAAGCAGGTCCTCTCATTCGCCTTTCCTTTCAAGTGTGTGACTCTTCTTTGAAACATGACAGAAAAAACCAGTGACGCATGAAGCAGGAAGTAAAAGTAAGTTACTTTAGTGCGTCTAACATTTTAAAAGATGAGGGATGTGTCTGATTCTTTATTATGTCTACCCTCAATGAAGCCCTGTTCTCCTGTAATAGTGAACTAGGAAACTGAAGTTGTTGAATAAACTGTTCTACCATAAAGTTATAAGCTCTTTAAGGTACAGACTAAAATGGGGGAGGGGGGCACAGTTTAAGCAAATCTGATATTTGGAAGTTTGGATTTACAAAAGATTATTTCTCTTGCTTGGTTTATGGGACTGCAGGACAATTAATAACTTCACCTGAAGATTCACCAAAGTGTTTCATAAACCGTAAATCCGTCAAACTTGAATTTGTATTCTGACCATCTGATATGCCCACTGGTTTTCAGGCACATCTTGAAACTAAGATTTGCTTCTAAGCCAAGCCCTGAGTAGTTATTCCCATCTGAAGAAAATTTCTCTGCTCCTTGATATTTGCAGCTGCATAAAAAAAATCTAGCTTAATGCATCAAAATATAATCTTCCGAGCTCTTCAGAGTAAAAAATAAAGGTGCTTTTTGGAATGGTCAAAGCTATTTTTCTCAGTGTTATTTATGATCAGCTCTAAGACAGGACACAGGCACTCACCATCCATCCATTGCTGCAGACGTTTATTTTAAAACATTTATCTTAAAAAGAAAATACTGAAGATTTATTTCAGATCCCTATCATTCTCATAAAATTGAAAAATTCATATCTGCCAGCTCCATCAGTTCTTGAAGTCAACTGTAGCTTTTAGTCCCCCCTTATCAACTGTTTGTGCATTGTCAGTTTTCCACCCCTTTCCCACTGGTCTTTATTTCAAATTTAGCCTGTGAGGTGAGCCATAAGCTTGCTGGGAGATGGTTCCATCCATAACATTTTTGCTCTGTCTCATTTCTTTTGTGATTTCCCTCCTTGAAAAAAAAATTTAGAAAAATCTACATAAAATATCACTCACTTAACTAGAAGTCATCATTGCATTTTGCATATAAATGCAAATTCAGGGACATGGAATAGCTTTTCCTGCATATTTCCTGATTATTACAATAAGTGTTGATTGTGGAAAATGTGAAAAATATAGTAAAACACAAAAAGGTGTGAAAAATATGTTTTCTTACCCCCCAGAGAGAGCCTCTGTTAACATTTTAGTGTATTTCCTTCCAGTCATTTTTCTACTCTTTTTTTCTCCAAAAATTGTGATCTCTCCTCGTATTACAATTACTAACAACTTATTTTTCCCACTAAACTAATGAAAATATACCATTTCATTAAATATTAATTCTGCAACTGATTAAATGGCTGTGTGATGTTCTTCTCAATGAATATTCTGTAGCTTACCATTCTTTTTTTTTTCTAGCTTCATTGAGTTACAGTTGACATACAACATTGTCTAAGTTTAAGGTGTACAATGCATTGATTTGATAAACATCTATATTGGAAAAATGATTATTGCCATAGTGTTATCTAACATCTCCATCACCTCAAATAATTACAATTTCCTTTTTGTGGTGAGAACATGTAAGATCTATTCTCTTAGCAATTTTCAAGGATATAAAACAATGTTGTTAACTATAATCATCATGCTGTACATTAGATCCCCAAAACTTATTTGTCTTGTAACTGAAATTTTCTACCCTTTGGCAACACCTCCCTATTTTCCCCACCCCCAGTGCCTGGTAACTACCATTTACTCCCTGTTTCTGAGTTTGACTTTTTAAAGCTGATTCCACATATAAGGGAATCTACATATAAGTGATATCATATTTGTGATACAAGTGATTCCACATACAGATTCTATATATAAGTGAGATCATGCAGTATTTGTCTTCTATGTCTGGCTAATTTCACTGACCATAATGTCCTCAGGGTCCATCTATGTTGTCACAAATGCAGGAATTTCTTCTCTCATGGCTGAATAATACTAATAATGGAGTATTATTTATACACTTATCTATTTTATTCTTTATACATTTATCAGTTTATCCGTTGACAGACACTTAGGTTGTTTTCCATATCTTGGCTATTGTGAATTATACTGCAATGAACATAGGGATGCAGATATCTCTTTGAAATCCTGATTTTATTTCCTTTGGATGTATATACAGAAGTAGGATTGCTGGATCATATGGTATTTATGTTTGTAACTTTTTGAGGATCCTCCATACTGTTTTCCATAGTGGCTGTACCAGTTTACATTCCCACCAACAGTACACAAAGGTTTCCTTTCTCTGCATCCTCGCCAACATTTTATCTCTCATCTTTTTGAAGATAAACATTCTGACGGGTATGAGGTGATAAGCAAATAATCTGTTATAATTCTTTTTTATTATAATTGTCTGCATTTCTGATTCTATCATTTGGATGGATTTCCAGAATTGGAATTAATAGGTCGAACATTTTAAAGTTCTGGAAACATGTTAAATTCCATTCCAGAATAGTCGTATGAGTCTGCAGTCCTATTCTTACCACTCTAGTCTCATTCCCTGGCCCCTTTATGGCTTATTCTAATGGTGTGATTTAGATGATGTGGTGCAATCACCAGTAACAGTAGCCTCACCATCTTCATCTGTAAAATAATAGAAGCTTTCCAAGGTTGTTGTTTTGATTAAATTTAAAGAATATCTATGATGAATGTTGCAGTGATTCGAGGTATAATAGAAGCTTAATAAATTTGAGGGTTTTTTTTTTTCCATATCCTCTTCTGTGCCCATTTCATAGCAAGATAACCCAACTCAGAGAGATCCCAAGCATCTCAGGGCAGGCCAGCCATGGGGCTGGGACTGGAGCCCAGGACTTCTCACCACTTTCTCCGAGTTCTTTTTCCCAGTGATGTTGCCTTTCGATCCCTGTACCCACTGAGTACTAGAGGTGTCATCAACCCTCAGTCAGTGAATCATCCTCTCTCAGACGTCAGTCAAATCCATTAGACCTAACTCAGTTCTCAACCCAGTGTCTGGGCCCGGTGGACATGACCTTCTTAGAGAATCAGATCCAGAAAAATCCTTGAGTAATAATGAAAATCCTGTCCATTGCATGGCAAAAAAACCGATAATGAAAGCAAGCTGGGCACACTGTGAACTTATTAATTTCTACATGAGCCCCACTGAGGCCTGTTAGGAAACTGTGGAGACTTTTAAATTTGAAGGGAATTAGATCGCCTTTCAGAGATAATAGAACTGTTCATTTGTCTACATTGGGCCAGTCTGGACTTGTCTTTAGTAAGGACAGAGCAGCAGAGAGTGATCAGGCATAATTGG